TAAATAAAATTGTGTAATCTAACCTTTTTAAAAAGAGGATCATCAGGCTGTGATTACTTAAACATTATCTTCAACATAACAGAGCTGCAGTAATATTAACTGCAATTTCTCTATAACTGATGTTTTTCTTACAAGAGTCAAAACTATTGGACTGGACTCTGTTTTAATAAAAGAATATTACCAATGTGCACTGTTTCAGGTTTTGTCAGGAAGTGCTCATTTGTCAGTTCTACTAAACTCATGTGAGATTACTAGTTTAGATTGATGAATAAATGCACGGAAAAATATATAAGCGCAACACTTGTTTTTGCTCACATTTTTCATGAGCCGAACGCAAACATCTGAAAATTATTCTACATACACAAAAGACCCATGACTCTCAAATATTGTTCTCAAATCTTTATAAATATGTGTTAGTGAGCACTTTTCCTTTACAAAGATAATCCATCCCACCTCACAGGTGTGGCATATCAAGGGTCTGATTAGTAGTGATGTGCAATACCACTGATTTCCTTTCCGATCCGATACCAAGTAATATTCAGGGTGGTATCGACGATACTGATCCGATACCGATACTTTGTACAAAAACGTATTTTATTTATTGTATCTCAAATTATAGCATCATAATGATTACAGGACATCAGATTACTTGTTCTTATCACTTAATAATGCGGAGTTCATCATATAGAAATAAAAAAAACTGAAGTTGTGCTATTTGAACACCTTGCCTGCCTGCAGCACTAAAGGACTCTGTGAGAGACGTGTGTCTCGCCCTAGCAGCACCTGTCCCTCTCCTCCTTTTCAGTTCGCCTCAAGAATGAGAATGTAGCTCTGTAAACGTCAAATATCTGAGCCGACCGACACATCGTCTTCAAACCCCTGCGGTCTTTCACTACTCGGGTTAAACATGATATATAAGTCACTTTGATAACTTAAAAATGTTATTGTTTGGCTTTTTCAGTGTTTTATTTGTTTGTGAGTAAATCGGTTTGGCTGAGATTAAAGTTATTAGATTAAATAAAATTTAACGGGAGGGTTCCTCCGGGGTTTTCACACAGCTAAATAAACGTCGAAAAAGAAAACTAATTAAACAAAGTGTGAGACAGTCCAGAGTTTACGCAAGCACCCGGTTATATTTCAGATAGCAAGGAGCAGACAGCAGAGTTTCACTCCACCGAGGGAGCTCATGACGTACTACCCGGCTTTCTTTAGACCGCGAAGCAGCCTCTGAATTTGGACACCACCGCTGTTTCCAACCCGATAATAAAAACAATGGCATTTAATGTACTTTATCCGATAAATAAACCCTGTAAAATGTATTTATCACCCCCCAACAGCCCTTTTGAATGTCTCTCTAGTATGGCCACAACACCTCACTTTTTTGCCACATGTATCGCAAACCACGTCTCAGCTGTTTGTGGAGGTAAAATATGTCCGCACATGACTCCAATTACGCTCAGCTGCGCACGCCAAGGGGCTGCGAGACATTTATACAGCCGTATTTCGCACATGACTATGAAAGGCGGAAGAGGAAGCAGTTCCTTTGGATGTAGACAATCCGAATGTTATAGTTTCTTTCCACTCTGTTACTGTTAATGATAAACTACAAATTTACTCTAAATTAATAAAATATCAATATTTTTAATGTGAGAATCGATTCTAGAACATAAATGACTGGTATCGGAGGAATCGATATTTCAGGATCGATCCACACATCACTACTGATTAGACAGCGTAAATAATGTTCAGTTGTGCCTTAGACTGCCCACAATAACAGGCCACTCTGAAACGTGCACAGTTTTGCTTTATGGGGGGGGAAATCAGTCAGCATCTGGTGTGCCCACCATTTGCCTTATGCAGGGCAACACATCTTCATCGCATAGAGTTGATCAGGTTGTTGATCATGGCCTGTGGAATGTTGATCCACTCCTCTTCGATAGCTGTGTGAAGTTGCTGAATATTGGTAGAAACTGGAACACGCTGTCGTATACACCAATCCAGAGCATCCCAAACATGCTCAATGGGTGACATGTCCAGTGAGTATGCTGGTCATGCAAGAACTGGGATGTTTTCAGCTTCCAGCAATTGTGTACAGATCCTTGCAATATGGGGCCATGCGTTATCATGCTGCAACATGAGGTGATGGTCGTGGATGAGTGGCACAACAATAGGCCTCAGGATCTCGTCACGGTACCTCTGTGCATTCAAAATGCCATCAATAAAATGCACCTGTGTTCATTGTCCATAACATACGCCTGCCCATACCAGAACCCCACCACCACCATGGGCCACCTGATCCACAATGTTGACATCAGCAAACCGCTCACCCACACACGCTGTCTGCCATCTGCCCTAAACAGTAAAAACCAGGACTCATCTGTGAACAAAACACCTCTCCAACGTGCCAGATGCCACTGAATTTGAGTGTTTGTCCACTCAAGTCAGTTACAACGACGAACTGCAGTGAGGTTCAAACCCCAATGAGCACGACAAACATGCAGATAAGCTTCCCTGAGATGGTTTCTGACAGTTTGTGCAGAAATTCTTTGGTTATGCAAACCGATTGTTGCTGCAGCTGTCCGTGTGGCTGGTCTCAGGCAATCCTGGAGGTGAACATGCTGGATGTGAAGGTCCTGGCCTGGTGTGGTTACACATGATCTGCAGTTGTGAGGCCAGTTGGATGTACTGCCAAATTCTCT